GAAAATCATGAATAATCAGTTCACTGGCTACTTTTCAAAAGACATGATTCCAACAAAGAGATGGACAATAAGACCTTTTGCCACTGAATTGTTAGAATTGCTACTCTTAGAGAAGAATCTGAAAAGATTGGTGTTCATTTTTGGGTAAAATTCGTAGATTTATTCCCACTCCTTACTCAGCATGCCTTCCAAGTGCTTGTTCCTTTTGTCACTACATACTTATGTGAATCAGGGTTCTCAAGTTTAGTAGCAATGACGACAAAGGCCAGGAACCGATTGAAAGCCGATGACGATATGAGAGTAGCATTGTCATCAACAGCTCCTCGCATAAACAAACTGATTGACTCAATGAATCAGCAGTGTTCCCACTGATAATGTTTCTGTTTGGTCTTATTTTTTGTGATAAAAATGGACTGTATAATTTTTTCTTTAGAAAAGAATGTTTTATTTTCTTTATTTTTGGTGATACGAATGTATATTGCTATTTTTGTGCAAAACCTGAATAATATTTTTTTTTCCGACCTTCTTGTTTTTCTGTCCCTTTATGATGGCTATGAATTTTTTGTATGGAAGTAACGGTGTAAATGGAGAAATACATCAAGCCGAAGGGGTTAATGATGGAAGTTGAGAATCCCTGCACTAGACAATAGACTTTGCTAGACATTCCACATCAATAACACTCTAGAATCAGCAAGTAAAAGAATATCCTATCTTTACTGCATTGGCGACACTAACAAAGGATGTAACAGCCACTCAAAACCATTTACAAAACATACATCCGCCCACTTTATGAATACGAATGCGCTATCACGTGCAACATCCTAGATAAAACATTCAACAGATTGCAAGTACAACAAAATAAAGTTATTAAAATTACACACCGATTACCTAACTATGCCCCGCGGGAATACATGGATTGAATAGCTAACGTCACCCCTATCAAACAACGTTTTTACAAACGTTTTTAGGGCCGTTCTATCAGAATCACAACCATGATCTGTTAAAATGCTCAATAAAAAGTACCATTAACTTATTTAAAGTAATCATTTCCGTATTCTTTTAATATTTCCTTCCATTTGAACACTATATCAAAATTTCAAGTTTTCAAAATGATTATCCATTTTAGCAGGACGCACTTCTCTCTGCATCTCTCCGCTCGTGTCGCCGTCAACTACGCCAACACAACCTACTTATTCCCAATCTGACGTCATCACCACGTGTGTAAACAATCACACGTGCGTTCCATGTGCTCCGGCCCATACACTTAACGACTTAACGCTTCAATCCAAGCAGGTAAAACTCTTCTTCTTCCTTCGACTCTCCTTCTCAACTTGACAGCTTTTCCAAATGCTTTGAGGCAACTCAGCTAATATAGTGAAACCAACCCTTTATAGAAGTTTTCATCTAGTATATTACCTCCGGATCGAAAGTAATTGTGGGTATACAATCACATACCCCACACCGCTTTCTAGCACTCTCGTCAATGCCCTAACTCTGTGTGTGGGGGTGAAGAGAAACTACAGTTTCTGAGCACCCCTGGTTGTTTTCCAAGCCCCTCTGGGGCTTGTGTGAGATATAAAATCAAAATTACTGCTACGATAGATAATATGAAGATAGAACAATGAATAGATATTAGTAGTAATGATATGTAACGAACCAACTGTTGAAATATACCCAGTAAACAAAGGACTAACAAACATCAAATGAGCAAAGTATCAAAGTTTTCAGGTCCACAAAGACTTTAAAAATATCAAACGTGCCCACTAACAGAAATTACTGAGATAACACAATAACTAGTATCTAAGGTACCAGACAGAGAAGGTAACATAGATGACAAGGACATAGAATTAAGTCCTACACTGACTAAAATTAAGAGAAGGTACATACTTAACAATGTTTGTTTGTTTTTGAACATGTCATTACTACAAATAACAAATAATTCTTTGTTCTCTTTGAATAATGTTTTCGTCATTGTTAAGTATGGCCCGGCATGGCCAGGTGGTTAAGACGCTCGACTCACAATCTGTGGGTCGCGAGTTTGAATCCCCATCACACGAAACATGCTCGCCTTTTCAGCCTTGGAAGCATTATAATGTGACGGTCAATCCCACTATTCGTTGGTAAAAGAGTAGCCCAAGAGTTGCCGGTGGGTGGGGATTACTAGCTGCCTTCCCTCTAGTCTTACACTACTAAATTAGGGATGGCTAGTGCAGATAGCCCTCGTGTAGTTTTGCACAAAATCATCCACATTTATATCAGTGTCAGACTACATTACATGTCCTCTGTCATCTTCATTAATTTTGTGGAATGGTACATTAGATATTGATTATTTATGTTTTATCGGAAATTTTCGTTATTTTACATCTTTTTTTTATGAAATACTTTGTGAACTGGGTATGTTTAGATAGGTTATCTGTTTCATATATAAATACTTTGGGTTTATTGGATATGTTTGGTTAGTTTGTACCTTTGGTAAGTTAGATATTTAGGTGTACTTTTTTTATGTACGTTACTTTAGTTTAATTGTACATCAGATATTGATTATTTCATTGTAATTTTGATAAATTTAATTGTTAAGCACATTCTTCATTACTTTTACATATTTTATTAGTTTGTTATTAATAAGTACTTTCCCTAGGTATGTTTTAATTGTGTGTTAATTACATACCTTAACTACTTGTATTTCCTAGGTATGTTTTAATTCTTAGTACATATCTTAGCTACTTCTATTACCTAGGTATGTTTTAATTGTTTGTCAGATACATATCTTAACTACTTGTAACATCTAATTCATTGTTCTGTTTGTGTAACTTTTTTAATGTAGTTGTTAACCATGTGCCTTAGGCCAGCGTTTCCTTCTTATTTTCTAAGGGAGAGAACACTCATTGAGTTGCCACTTAGGTCCTTCCTTTTTGGTTACCTTCTCCCAATTGACAGCCCCTACGTCTATCAATTGGGGGACACTTGTTCTTCTCCTCCCTTTTCCTCTAGCTTAAAGTTCTCCCAAGAGATTTGTGGTAAGTTTTTCAACATGTACACTTCACACCAGATTGATATTCCCATGGTATACCCTGTTTTGATGCTCTTTGAAAGACTTTGCCCTTATTTACGCACGGGAGACTTGCGTATTTCACGTCATCAATGCTCAGACTTTGAATGTAAGACTCGAACCAAGGCATGCACTTCCTCAGCAGGTAAGTCAACCCCATTATTGCCTGTCACAGTAATACCACAACGGAAGACCTTGGATTCATACTAAAACAAGTAGAATTGGAAAACAAGAAAATTTGGAATGCAAATTCCTTGAAACAAATGAAATCAAAATGAAAATTTTAAATTGTTGAATAAACTTTGTCAGAAATGGCAACAAAGCACAATCAAAAACTGTAGTCACATTCGGAGAAATTAAACACACATTTAAACTGTGTTAAGCCAATCGAGAAATAGTTGAGGGAGCTAGCTGTGCCGTTATAGATGACACAATACTATTGGTGGAGAGTATAGTCACATGATATGTACATGTTCAGAAATGGTGTAAAAGTGGTGCGGTATAAAGACTGGTGCACTGATTACTAAAAATTCTTTTAGCAATGCTTAAAGGACAGATCAAGATAGTTTTGTGTAATAAGGGTAAGTCCAGTCTGGAAGCAAAATTCATCACAAAACCAAAATATTTTCCCCAAAGAAATATTGGAGAAGCTAGTAAAATACATAAAAATGCAGACAGGCTCATAAACAATGATATAAGACTTCAACTGAATCCCCTATAGAAAACATTCTTTACCAGAACATGTATGAAGAAATTGTACCGAGTAAATAATACTAGCAACATGTCGCTGTTCTCATACAGAAAACCCTTGAAAACGATGCATGTGGTTCGTCAAAACTAGTCGTGTAATTAACTTTATACTTTTGTGTTGTTTTTCTTACTTAATTTGTGCTTAAAAACTCTGAGAGAAGTCAGAGCATGTAAGTCCATTTATTATGCTAAAACTAAAAATCTTTATAACAGTCTAATATCTCTTTTAGCTGATAAAAGTGTCTCTCATTCAGAACTATATAACTGACACAATACTACATAAATAAGACAGTGATTTAAAAACAATATTATTTCTAGCTAGATTCAGTAACATATAAAAATATCTATTAATACTTAATGCAAACAAAGTATGACAAAAAAAGCCAAAACAAAGGTATAATTTAATCAAACCAACAAAAGTATAAAAAATGTCCACACAATACAGTCTACACTTTTTAGTTTTACCATTTTACCACTTTTATGAAGATTCTATTCCAATATATTAGATTTCACATATGCATTTTTTTTTCTAATTTTTATAGAAATAATATTTCAAAATAAAATTCTTTATAATTTTCTTTCATATACAAATTATATCATTTGATAAAGTAGTTTCTATTCTAATATGTCAAATATTACAAACCTTAGTTTAATATTTTCTTTAAATTACTATACTTTAATCACCTACCAAAAGGACAAAAGTTATTATTTTCCTATATTAAAAATATATTTCTGATAGGTACTTAGATCTTCTCATATGTATAGCTATTCTCGTTCAGTGCTGCCCTCTATATGCAAATATTTTTTGCACGCCACAAGCCTTGAGCTCCCACTTATCCCATGATTAATGTGGTTCACTGTGTCTTGCATCTAAATGATAATGAGATAACCCTTCACCAATAGGAGTTTGACACACCCTTCTGATGCATGTGATTCCCTCTATTCAAGAGAGGGAGCAGAAAGGGCATGGAGAACTGAAAGCTCCATTGAACAGAGATGAAGTGCAGAAGATTGGGCCCAACTAAAGTGGGTGTTGAAAAATACACCCAAGTGGATAAGATACTGAATAGATAAAAGGTAGGAATTCTACAACTTGAAAATCCAACCCACATGAGCTACTTTTGTCAGTAGCAGAGGTGTGTGCTGTGAAAACTTGAGTTCAGAATGAGCTAGCAGGAGTCAGTTGTCCATGTAGTGGTGTAAATGCAATCCACAAGCATGCACAAGTTGGGCAAAGGTTTTTGACCACCCGTCAAAAGACATATGGTGGTGAAACAAGTCCGAAAGGCAAGGCATGAAACTGGATACACAACTTTGTGTTGGACAAACCGAAGATAGCATCTGGGCTGATGAGAAACAGGAACATGGAGATAGCATTCAAGACGTCTACCTTGGTCATCCACAGTCCTGGAAAAATAAACCACCATAGTGTGAGAAAGGATTCCATGGTGAAGAGTTGAAGATCCAAAAAAGTGGTTGATGCAGAACAGATTGATCACGGGATGCCAGCCCCCAGTTTTTTTGGGGACTACAAAAAGTCTGGGGAAGGCTGGCCAACAGCAATCGATAGCTCTCTGTGATAGAAGAGTCAGCACAGCCTTGGATAGATGCTGACTGATAGCAGTATCCTGAGGTAATGGGAAGAATATCAGTACAGGAGACAACAGGGGCAGAGAAAATGAAATGGGTGAAAAGTCCTTCTGACAAAACTTGGATCACCCAAGGATTGGTAGTAAATTCCCACCACAGAATACAATCAGCCAAACATGCCCCAACTGGACTGGAAACCCACTGGATAGTCATCAGAACTGATGGTGACAATGAACTTGACGTTGAGAAACATTACAAATTGTCAAACCCCTAGGAACTGGTAAAAGATGGGAAACAGTAACAGGAAAGGGTATGGGATCAGAATGAGACAAATGAACAACCACAGATGAAAGGGTCTAATGTTGTCTCACAGATTCCACAAATGATCCCAAAGACTCAGGAATATCTCCAAAATCAGACCGATGGAGAAACGGAGCCATCTGTAAGTCACAAAGATAAGTGGAAGGCAGGTGAACATGTGACAAGACAGTATCTCTCCCAAAAAGATCCCAACAAGTAAGAAACTATGTGTGAAGAGATAGGGCTGAAAAGGACAATCATTCTAATGGGAAAGTAATGAGAGAAAGGTATCCCCTAAAATCCCTCAGGGAATCGGTGGAGTGCCACAGAAAGGCGTATGGTGGACCAGTACCGTAGGAGATCTGTAAGGGTAAGAGGAAGGCAGGAAAACTATGTGTGGGATAAACAGATAGGATTTTCAAGGTCAGTCCCACACACAGGCAAAAGTGACTCAAACTGCTGGGAGTTGATCAGTCTGATGATAAACCAAAGCATAATGATCAGAAGCCCATGGAGGATGAGGCATGCTATTACCCACTCTCAACTGAGAAATGAAATTATGTCAGGAGAAGCAGGGAAAACAAGGTCTTTATGGAATGGGTTACACATAACATGGAAGGAACAGGATCATATGAAATCTGGAAAATGGATAAAACAGAACACACCTGAGAAATCATATCCAAAACAGCCGAGTTAAGCCTAGCTGATTCTGCAGGAGAGGCTTTAAAAAGCACCAACATACTTAAATGGAGGAAAAAAGACTGTCAAAATCCACCTCATCATGAATAGGTCTGGAAGATTCAGGAGGAAGTTGAACATTATTGGGAGAAGAAGGTCAATTCGTATAATGATCAAACTCTTGATGAATGAAAGCCAAAAAATCCTCAGTTGAGATCCCCCCAACCTGAAGGCTGTGTAAGGGTATTGGAAGTAGGTGGAAGAATATTAGAAGTTGTGACATGAACTTCAGAATTCATCATAAACAGGGAAGAATTAAAAACAAAAGATAAACACAGGTAATTTATTGTGCCTAAAAATAACAGAAAACAAACTGCAACAAAATAACAATTAAATCAAATCACCACTTCACAGAAAAAAAAAAAAACAATGAAGAGAGCACAATTGAAATATTTCTGCACTAAATCACTGGCTAACAAGTGATAATTCAGTTGAATTGAACAGAGGGAATCGCATGTGTTGGGAGGGTGTATCACATGATGACTTACATGCAAAATGCAGTGAATCATGTTGGTTGTGAGGTACATGGGAGCTCAAGGGATGTGGCATGCGAAAACATTTTTTGCATATAGATGGTATCACTGAATGAGAATAACTATACATGTGTGGGGAGGAAAGATACCATATTTGCATAGAAAAATATATTTTTTTTTAACATACACACCCACTTCTTCAATTCAGTTAACAGAAAAATATATATATAACTGCGATGACATTAATGTTTAGGTTAAATATTAAAGTTCTCCAGAAGTCTTACGTAAAACAGGCTTTAATGAAGAGAAATGGTTTTTGAAGTCTACATAACAAAAACTTTCTTAGGTGTGGGTAACACAAAAGCTAGAGAAATATAAATCAGACCTGTTTACACTTCATTAATTCCATTACACGTGACAGAACTTCAGAAAATGGCATAAAATATAATCACCTATCTTTCAGAATATATTTTTTCAAGTAACAACAAATGCATTTATTTGTTTACTATTGGAAGAGAAAAATGAACATGTTTCCTTTTTAAACATTGAACATAAAATTGTAACATCTTTATGAATGTGAAACTAAATACAAAAATATTTTTTTCTGGGTTAAAAAAAGGAAAATGTTACATGCTTATTTATGGATATACAAGTTCTATTTGAAATCATACTAATTATATAAGGGTCTGAAATAAAACAGAATTTGTTTTAGGTAAATGCCTGCCTTAACATGGCTCAACACCAGTGGCATAATGAAGAAGCTTTTTTGTGTATTCATAGGCTAAAAAGAGAGCACCAGTTGATGGAAAAGTTCGTAAAACGGTGGGTCCAAGTCCACTGTACAGAGCCAGAATACCTATGATTAGAAAATAAATAAATATCTAATTGATATTTTAAAAGTGGAAAAATAACATGAGTAACAGACTTCATATTAATCTCGGTGGATATAAAATTATACAGTGGAAACATATATATATATATAGTGTAATCGTTACTCACTCTGAAATACATGTCAGTTTTCATCCTTATTTCTCAAACATGGGACATTTATCAAAGCTGAAAGTTCTTCACAATATTGAATATAATAATTATTATAGAAACAATATAATATTTGAACAATATTTACTTGAAGAACATAAAAGAATATATATTGTGTGTAAATGAATAAGATTATTACACACTAAAACATTCACCATTTCTATGACTTTTGTCTATGCACCCACTAATAATCTACTTACAATTACAATTTATTAAACAATATAAAAAATTAATTGGATTACAGACTTCATTTTTTTGACAACCACTAAATACTTTAATATGAGTGTAAGGTTTTCCCATAATCAACAGCACCATTCAAGTTCCTGTTTTTACAAGCTATAATCAACAGCACCATTCAAGTTCCTGTTTTACAAGCTATAATCAACAGCACCATTCATGTTCCTGTTTTACAAGCTATAATCAACAGCACCATTCATGTTCCTGTTTTACAAGCTGTAATCAACAGCACCATTCAAGTTCCTGTTTTACAAGCTACTAAAGCTTGTTGCTGTAGAGAAGTCATAGATGCACTTAAGAATCATGAGATCCATTTATTGTGCTGGAACTTAAAAAACGACAACTAAAAAACAGTAAATGTATTTTTTTTTAAATTACAGACATGCACTACTAGTTTGGCTGAAGGCTTGAAATAGGAATGGTTAAATAACATATTTAAATACATTTCTATTATGGATTTTTTTTTAACTGCCTTTCTATTACAAAGAGTAAAAATTAAGTATTTTTATTTATTATTTATCCATATTCTTAAGTACCATGCTACTCTTTCTGTGGGCTAAAATGAAACTTTTAATTTTGAATACAAGTTTAGTTGAGTGAAATGAAGTTTGCTCTGAAATTCTATTATTTAATTTTATTTTCTATATAATTTTTTTTTACATTAATTTTTCTTTTATAAGGACCTGTATATGTTTCAGACATATGTAATGTTATAGCTTAGTTTGTTTCTTACAAAATATTTTTCAAACCTAGAATATTTTATCACCAAAGGGTGTAAATCAAAATAAAATCGTAAAATAAAATCATGACAAAAAAGCAGTCAAGAACAAACATTATAAGACCTACATATAAGTAACAAAACTTGCATATTATTCTACACAGTATTTATAAATCAATGTTGACAAGTACTGTTTGTCTGCAAACTATTCAATACTGGCTAACAGAAAATCACAATCCACAATAATTTAAGGCTATTTTAATAATAATAGTTCTAAGTGGTGTATTTAAGTGTTTTACACTCACAGAAAAAGAAACCTATCATTCTATAGGTATATGAAGAACTTG